ACAAGAAATACTCGTGCCCCGCCGCGCCTTTGCGTACTGCCGCCCTCTGCCCCTACTGCCCGCCCAACGGGCGCGTGCGCGGCGACCTGGTGGAGCACTTGCGCCTGGCGCACGGCCTGCAGGTAGCCAAGCCCGCAGCCTGCCCGGGCGCTGAGCCCCGCACGCCCGCTGAACGTGCTCCGCGTGACAGCCCCGAGGGCCGAGCGCCACGCTCCCCATCCCCAGGTCCTGAGAACACGCCTTCTGACCCCACAGAACAAGGCGTGCGGACACCCTCCAAGGGCCCGACTGTATCTGCGCCTGCGTCAGGTGGTGGTGGTGGTGGCCACCGCTACTGCCGCCTGTGCAACATCAGGTTCAGCAGCCTGTCCACCTTCATCGCACACAAGAAGTATTACTGCTCCTCTCACGCCGCCGAGCACGTGAAGTGAGCCTGCGGGGCCGCACCGCCTGGACCCTTGGCACTTAATAAAGACGTTCGGTGTGACAAACTCGCTGATGGGCCGGCCTTTTGTCTTAGATACAGTGGGCCTTATTCCATACCCCAGCCTGTGCAGACCTGCAACGGGCACCCAGCCATTTCCGCCAGGACCTAGCCCACTCCAGAGGCTCACCCCCAACCCCATGCAGCGCTCTTTTCCTCTGCTTCTAGCTCACCCGCAGCCTGCCACCATGTGCGTCCAATTGCAGACCACTGGGGAGAATAAAACCTTGTACTTGCTGAGTCTGCGAGGAAGGGAGGGCACCATGTCCCAAAAGGCCCCTCCTGTCACAACCTGGGTGGGTCCCTGACTACTGAATTGGTACTGGGGCTACCAACTGTAGTCTGTTGTTGGCTGGCTGTAGACTATGCCTGGCAGAGCCCATCCAACCTCGGTCTGGCTATTGCTTGGCATCTTCTTTCCTTGGTCCCCTGAGAAAGCAAACATGCCTGATCTCCAACTCTGTAAGTCTTGACCAGCAGCTGTGGAGGCTGGAAGTTTGGGGACCTGGAGCCTGATTTGCCCCTCACCCAGCCCTCTAAGGTGACCTGCAAAGAGACCTGGATTTGCACAAAAATAAATGTTCCTGAGAGTCATTCACAGGCCCCGCCCAGCTTAGCACAGGGTACACAAAAGCCACACCTTCCCAGTAGGAGCTGCCACACACCACCAGGTCAGCTGGAGCCCAGGGTTTAGCTCCCAAAGGGTCCTGAGGAGCCAGGCAGGCTCCGATTTGGGCTCCCTTTTCCCTAAAGGCAGCTGGTGTGAATTTACATGAAGGGCGCTGGTTTCCATTCAAAGCCTGGTAGAAGGCAGATGCCTTCCACGTCTGCACCCACTGCTCTCGAGCTGTTTAAAGTTTTACAGTGTGTACCTGAAGTTGTCTAAGAGGGTGGAGAATGTCATGGAGATGGACTGGCTGGTCATAGATGCTTGAATGACAGAAGGCCCGAGGTGACTCCCAGCCTCCCCGCTGAGCCCAACCCCATGCACAGCTGCAGGCAAGGCTCTGTACCACAGGCTTACCATATCATCCAGGCCTGCCTCGGTTTCCATAGCTGTAAAATAGAATTGAGATCCCTTCTGAGAGCTCAGCGAGGAGACCCTGTGACCCTCACCCAAGCTGAGCTGCAGGTCAGCCTGTATTCCTGTGTCCTGTTACCTAGAGCTCCCACCTGCCGTCTATCCCCACTTTGGACTGTAGGAGAGTGTTACCATTGCCTATTAGGAGGCTCTGGAGCAGAAGTGTAAGCTTCATATGGTCCCTGCAATGTGATGCTGGGTCCTGCATTTTCCCACAGTTTATGCCAGATGCTCACCCCCAGGCCTGTGTTCGGTCCATCCACTGTGATGCTCAGAACTCACTCAGTCCTGGCATGCTTTCTCAGATGCCAACAATCCCCGTGCACCCTCAAGTTTATATCCCATCCTCTCCCTGAGGTCCCCTTGGTTTTCCAGCACCCACTCTATGGCCTCTGACGTTTCACGTTACCTCCTTTGGGGTCTGCCCTCTGCTCCCAGGAGGGCTGTTGTCTACATGAAAGGCAAGGGCCTGGACCTGTCTTAGCCTCCCTTTAGAGATTTGCAGAGGCTGGGGGCACTGGAATGCCCCCAAGTTTGCCATGTGTCTGGCCATGCCTCTTCCCTCAAGCTCTTGACTTCCTGTCCAGGGTATTACCCCCAAAGTCTCCCTAGGGCATACCCACTACCACATATGAACCTCTGCCCCGTATGCTACAGTGATGAAGGCACCAGCTCTACCTGCCATACTTTTTGTAGCTATAAAGTCGATGCTGTCCATGTTGGCCCAATCTATATCCCATAATCCCAGTCTGGAATGTTCCTCCAGGTCTCTTATCTCCTCAGATCCCTTCTTACTCCCGCCTTCCAAGGCCTGGCCTCAGTTGCCCTGTAAACCCCCTCTTCTCTGCTGCAGAGCAGGCTCCCCTCCCCAGCCTTCGCCTTGCAGAGGTCCACTGCAGAAGGGACAGAGACTTCCTCTGATCCCACTGTCAGAAGCCCAACCCTGCTCGGTCTACCACACTCCTTAGCTACAGGTCTCCATAGTGCCTCCAAGGGGCTCCCCTCCACATGAGCTTTGCACCCCAGTGGGCCTCCTACTAGATTAACCTCATCCTGAGGTTCACTCACGACCACCAGCTCTTTCCTAACCCTCCTGCCCTAGACGACTGACCTGTTTCTGAGAGGGAGGCCCCTATCCTAGCCACCAGGCAAACTCACTAACCACCTCCTTCCATACCCAGCAGTTGGTCCCCAATCCCAGACCCCAAGGTCAGTCACTATCAGCCTCCCAACTGGTCTGCCTGTGCCTACCTGCCCCCCAGGCAAATCATCCATGTCACCTCCTTGTGTGACACCATCTCACCCTCTTATCAGACCCACCATCTAGACCCACCACACACACAGTTGTATATATAACCAACACAGTAGCCACCGCAGCAATCACCACTGAGGGCCCAGGAGCCTTTCGTTAAGCCCTAATGGCTTCCTTCAACCCTGCTTCACACTCCTCCCTTCAACCCAGCCTCGGACCATCATGACCTGCCTCTTAGTGCCCTGCAGGCAAGACAGACTTCCACCTCCACCTCTGTCCTCCTGCACAATGTTCCACTCCGCTGGAGGCCTGCGTTGGCCAGGCTGCTGCCACCAGAGCTGGATGGGGTTCATTTGTCCTTGCACTCCTTCGCCACCTCATGAAGCTCGGCACATGAACATCGGTGAAACAACCCAGGGCACCGCACTGTTTCCAGTCGCTCATCCCTGTCAGGTGTACAGCCCTTCTCTTCCCCGTGCATTGGGATTATTTCACGGGTAAGGACACCCAGGTTTAGTGGTGCTGAGCCCCTGCCAGGGCACCTCTGGTACAACTGGACTTTAGACTTATTGGCTGCTCTGCCCCCAGCACTGGAGATCTCAAGCACCATCTCCCCAGGCTCAGCCATTACCTGTGTGGAGCTCAGCCCTGCGTAGAAGTTCACCCAGCTGACCAGGGAAGGTCATGCTAGCCATGTTTCCCCTCCAAAGACCCCATGTACATGCCTAGTTGAGGCAACACCATCTATTGGGCCTGCTGGGGACCCCCATCTAGATCCTTCTCCCTCCCTCAGCAGACCGTCCCTACCCCAGTCCTGCTCTTATTTCAACACTGGTGGAGACTCAGGACGGTAGAGGGCAGTGATGGCTCACTCAAGCACCTGCTTAGTTAGGGCTGCCTGCCCACTGGGAAGTCATGCCATGACCTCTGAGGAAGAGGAGGAAGGGGCAGGGGTGGGCAGATCCTCAGCACATTTCTGCATCTCCTGCCTCAGATCACCTGAGCACACAACACACCACAGGGCTTCAAGACACTGGTCCTTAGGGGCCTGCTTAGGGGCCTTGTTCACGTGGCCCGGCAGCTGCACAGATGCATACAATTCACACCTTCCTTAAAAGCTTCATGAATGGGGATAGGAGCCACTCGCTGAATGACCTTCCTCAGCCCCTCAGGGCTGTGCTGGGTGAGATGGAACTGGACACAACTTCATCCAAGGGAACCCAGCTCCTTACATGGCAGCTCCATTCTGACCTAGTCTGCCATCCACGGATCCTGGGCATGAGTACAAGAAGCCCCTGCCTTTGCCAAACCCAGGATACCCTGCCCAGAGCAGCTGGGCAGCAGGTCCACTGAGGCACACCAGAGGACAGCTGGGCAAGGTTTGTCCTGGAACTGATCAGAATGTGTTGACTAGGGATTAGAGAAAGGGAGGAACCACACCCTGGATGTCCTAGGAGTGGCCTGTACATTCCACTTGCTTCAGGTTGAACCCTACGCCTCAGACAGGCATGCAGTAGGGGCTGGAGAAGGCCTTGCACCCCAACTCCATTCTGAAACTCTGGGTTCCTAACAGAGCTGACTTCCCCAGGGGTCAAATGGCCTACAAAAAGGCATACGCATTCATTCTGGGGTGGAGCCCTGCCTCACCCACCCATGTACGAGGACCCTCCAACTATAGTGGGGCTCCCAGGCATTTCAGGGTGCTCTTCCTGCACCCTCACTTCCACTCCATAGTCTCCTTTAGCCTTGGAGCCTCATGGGTCCCACAGGTGTGGACAGTCAGGCCTAGGTACCCTTGGGGCCCAGCATCTATCCGCCTGTCTTCAGTGTGTCCAGTGTCCGTTTTAGGACTAGGTACTTGTCAAATATTGATACACTATATGTGGTTCCTGCCATCTTAGGTTTTTTTTGGGGGGGGGTTGTTTGTTTGTTTGGCTGGCTGGTTGTTTGTTTGTTTGTTTGTTTGGCTGGTTGAAAAACTAACCAGTTTTTCAAGACAGGGTTTCTCCGAGTAGCCCTGACTATCCTGCATCTGGATCAGGCTGGCAGTGAATTCAGAGATCCGCCTGCCTCTGCCTCCCGAGTGCTGGGATTAAAGGCATTTGCCATTGCCACCCGGCTTCTACTGTCTTGTTTTAAACCCGATTTTACTTACACCTCTGCTTTACTTTCCCATTTTCCATGGGGCTGACTCATCGGGCCTTTCCCCAGGCTTCTTTCTTTGATTTTAAATGTTTATTTCATTTTGGATTACTTCAGATATACTTTATTTTATGTCTGTACATACCTGCATGTACATACATGTACTGAATGCATGCGTGGTGCCAAAATGGTCAGAAGAGGTGACTGATTCCCTGGAACTGGAGTTATGGATAGTTGTGAGCCACTGTGTGCATTCTGGGAACTAAACATGGATCCTCTGCAAGAGTAGCAAGTGTTCTTAACCACTAAGTCATCTCCCCACCTCCTCTTCTTTTGTTCCCTTGAGACAGGATGTAACCATGTTTCCCTGACTGGCCTGGAACTTGCTATGTAGACCAGGCTGTCCTCAGACTCACAGAGATCCAGTGTCACTCCAGCTCTGTACTTGCTCTGTCCCTGGGTGTTTTAATGTCATGTGGAGCTTTGCATGAATGAACTTGTATCGTCTTCGTTTTCTCTCTGCCGACTTCAT